TTTGATAAAGATGGCAGGGCAAGATGTTACTCTGCACTTTCTTGTGGAAGCTGCTTCTCTTCCGTGCTTCTAAAGTGAGGGAAGGTTCTGTCTGGTGTAATAATGTTCCTCGTAGGTTTCCAGGCAGTGTGTAAATATGGCTGTTTTGTTCTTACACACAACTATGCCCCAAAGGTTTTTATCCAAAATATCCTATAATTCCTAACTCTGGTACAGCTCCAAAAAGAGGAGCCCGACTGTAGGTAAAGATTCTGGGGTTATCAGTGTGTTTCTGAAAGTTGTTTTCATTGCTCTGGATCTGTGCATCATAGGCAGGTTAATTTATAGAAATGAGTCTGATATCATCTAGAACATCAGATGTTATCACCGTTTCATCTAAATTACATGGAAAGGCTGGAGTATTAAATACAGTGGTTGCTAACAGGGGAAAAAAAAAGAAATTGCAAATTTTAATGCTTGTGGTCCAATTAATTATCATCCTCCTACTTTTTTGTGTTCTTCCCAGCTTGTACTATAATATTATACATTGATAAGAGATTGAACAGTTCCACTGTGGTCCTGGTTTTCAGTTATAAAAGCACTGATCCTCGTCATCTCTTCAAAGTGAGTTTCTAGCCGTTCTTCCTAGCAGTTAGCAAGTATTGAGATTTCTGATGTTTTCAGCTGGCCCTTGCATGGATGCATTTATGAGGTCTTTTTTGAAGAAAAAGCACTGTGATTTGCCTCCCATTTTGGAAGCAGATCCCATAGTTCTGGAAAGAGCTACCGCTGCGATCCTTTGTTCTGCCATTGAATGGTGAAAATGTCTTCCCTGGATCCCTAGGGATTTGTTGCCGTTCTGTGTCTGCAAGGGCGAAATTTTCATTTATGAGAATGTTCGGCATCGGCTTACGTGCTGATGGTCGTTTGTGCTACTGCTTTTGTTAGTTCTAAATCTTAAAGGGCGAGATGTGCTATAATTGAACTTTTGATGTCCTCGCTTTGTAGTAAGAAGAATCCTTGATGACTGTGCTTTTACTGTGCAGTTCAGCCCCGTGGCAAGGGCTTACCCAGATGTGAATGATGCCGCAGGCCTCCTCTCCAGCGCCGAATCCCGCAGTTACAGCTCCAAAGCGTGCGCCGCCCGGCCCTTCCGAGCGCCGGCCGGGTGCTCCCGAAGCCTCTTCCCGGCGCTTGCCTTGCCGAGGCCGCGGTGTTCACCCCCTGCG